TTTTCCTGGATCTCAGGGTCACAACTTCTAGGAAAAATACAGTCTGAGGATGACATTTTTATTCTCTGTCCCACAGAGGCGTATTTAGTAAGTCACTCTTCTGGAAAACATAATTGAATGAGCTTTTTCCCCTATAATGCTAATGGTCCAAAAAAAAAAAGTCTATCTATATGAATAAAACAATGTGATAAAACACATTTTCTCCTAGTAAGTTTTGCTCAAAACATTTCTTTTTTTGAAACTAGCATTTCTCGGGCCAGTCGAGTGGCGCTTTGGTTANTTCATGAACCCGACTTCTTTTTTATTTCTCTTTACATTGATGGGGAGGGAGGCTGTATCATATTTTCCACAGTCAGGTGAAGTAGAGGACAGGTGGGGCTGGCTCCCCTTCCCGACCTACTTCAGGAAAACAGTCACATTATCACCAGAGCCAGGCGAAGCTTTCACACCGCACAGAGTTGTCCTTGGCAGTGCCCGTCTGCGTGTTGTCATGGAATCCACAGCTGCCTTGCCCGTGCCCTGTTGGGGGACATGGCTGAGATCTAAGAACCAGGAAACCTTATCCACAAAAGCACTGTGTCCCTTGGCAGCACATCACAATGGGGCGCCCCTCTGCTCTGGTTTCAAGCAACGGTCAGAATTCCAAAGGGGTGTTGCCTCCCATCTGGTTGGCATCAGTGTAGCTGTTGGCAATACTTTATCTATGACTCCTACCCAGCAAGATAAGGTCTTGCCAAATTCACTTGGGCTGGTACTCTTTGGTGATAAATTTCTCTTCTCCCAGGGTGTTACCTATGAAGAGACACAGAATCAGAGAAAGCCAGGACTGGAAGGGGTCTGGGAGCTTATCTAATGAAGGCAGATCTGTGGTTTTACTGATGGGAAACTGAAATGCAGAGAAATGACTGAGGCAAGCTAGAGGCCAGGCCTCCCAAAGACCTGATTCCAGAGACAACCCTCCACGTTAGCCCCACGGGAGGCCATCTAGGCACATGGGGTTAGGATCATGCCTGGTGAGATGCAGACCAATTCTGGGAGAATTCGTGGTAATCGGTGAACTCGGGGACTCTTCCCCCATCACTTGTCATTTTAGTTCTCTCAGGTTCCAGCCCTTCCCCCAACCTTACCCAGGTTTTCAGGAGAAATTACATCACAGTACGGTGTTAGGAAGGGTATTCCTTTAAAAGACAGCTGCAAGGTCCAGTATTTATCCCAAAGGGATAAACCTCTATTCATAAAATAGCAGGAAGTGTTGCTGCTTGTGGGGAGTGAGGCTAGAGGCTTTTTAAACAAGGGAAGTGAGGCAGAGCGGAGCTCTTTGGAGCGGTTTCTCCTCCCTCTGCAATCATTCTCATCATGGGCAGGTTACCCAAACTCTCTGAGCCCCGGTTTCCTTATCTACAGAAGGGGCGAATAATATGCCACTT